CAGGAATACTTCCTGCAGATGCACCCAGATGGTACAATTGATGGGACCAAGGACGAAAACAGCGACTACAGTAAGAAAAATTAGCCTGCTTTGCAACCCAATTACAATCAAATACATCACCTAGTGAGTCTTGCTTGTGCAGCTTTATTTTTGAAAAGATCAAATTAGGAAGAAGCCAGCTGTTTTCTGCACATTTTTCTATCTATCCTTCCCCTTTAAATCTTGCCTGTATAATTTCATATGTTTCCTCTCCGATCTTCTTCCCTCCCGCCCCGATTCTGTAACTGCCATCTGGGTGGGGTGGAGAATAAACCCATGATTTGAATTGCTGCCAGAAGAGAAAGGAGATTATATTTATACACACGCCACGTGGGTAAAGGATACGGGGAATTCTCTCTCCAAGGAGAAGAGGAGAAAATTGTTTTCACTATTTTATCCTGAAAAATTCAGCAAGCATCAGGAATTTCCAGGCTGGAGAAAACCAGCTGTTCACTAAAGTCTAGTGCTTTGAGGCTAGTGTCAAGGCTGAGGGTATCAAATGACCTTTCCAAAGGAGGTCATCTTCCAAAACCCTATTCAAAGGGTTTGGGTTCATGCTGTCCAACAAAGGACAGCAAAGTCCAGCAGAGCCATGTAGGTTTAAAAATGACGGTCATGTGCAGGAGCCACATTGATTTAAGCAAATGCAAAGCAGTAGCCAATGCGTCTTCTGCAAAAGATGTAGTTTTGTCAACACCAGAGCTCCTCAAAAGGTTAAAAAAGGTGCAGAATATTTTCTACAGCAGCTCTTCTTTCATAGGCCTCAGATTGATGCTTCCAAGAGGGCAGTAATAAGGTCAGATCCTTGGTGCCACAAACTAAATCAACACGGTAGGACTCGAGTCTTAATTTGGGTCATCCTATGTTGGTTTGAAGCTCCCTGTGCTGCTGCTGAAGGGACATCATATCATCATGCCTGTCCAACACGGCAGGTGTCTTCCCAGTCATTACTAGAGACGAACAGAAGTTGATCTGTGTGGTAGGATTGATGGAAGCAAACTTCATGTACTTTGTGAAAGGTGGAACCTACCTAATTTGGGGACAAATCTTGTTCTAACTCAAAGAAGCTTTTAGCTGAATTGAAGGCATCATTCCTTCAGGAAGGCAGGACCTGGACTGCAGGTGCAGTGCATGTAGCAGGGCATGGATGAGGGTGCAAGGTGGCCACAGCACCACACCCATGGTGCTTGCCCCATCCCCAAGAAGCCAGTGGGGTGCTGTGGCGGGACCATTGTGTGTGGTGGGGCTGCTCTGCTGGAGCCAGCGCAGGACTGGGGTCTGTGCGTGGAGCGGTGCACAAAAGGAGCTTTGAGAAGATGGCAACTAAAATGGCAGGAAGCTGGCAAAGCCCTTGTGAAATGACCCAAGAGGCTGCATCACCAGAAACTTGGCTTGTAGCAGATGCAGGTGTCAGGTTTTAGTCCCCTTTGTCATATGCTGCTGTTGAACAAATGAAATGCCACAGATTGCAGTGACACAGCTTCTAATTTACGTTGGAGCAGGAGGACTTGTGGCCCTCTCCACACATACTGTTACTCCATGAGAGACTGAGCAGGTCTCTCCCTACAAGAAAAGTCTGGCCTTGCGATTTTCTCAGGCAGACACCAACATGTGTGATGAGTTCAGTGGGCTTTAGTGGGGGAGTGATGACCCAGTGTTGGGTTGTATTAGCTGCTTTTTCTTAAAGAAAAAAGACATAGGGTGTTCTCAGTCTGCAGAAAATCCCACTGGAGGCCTATTTGTCAACGACATGGGAAGAGCTGCTAGAGGTGACAGGGATTCATTGCCCTCATCTATCAGTGAGGATGGAACAACAAAGTAATGGGCTTAAATGGAAGCAGAGATGAATTTAGGTAAACAGCAGAGGAGAATAAAATGTAAGAGCAGTTCTGCAATATTTCAGGCTGGCAGGGGAGATGAGGGAAGCTGCTGCTGGCTGCACCTCAGTGGGTGCGGGGGAACCTCCCGAGTCCCCACGACTGAGGTTGGGCCCCAGTCGCCCAAACAGCTCTTATTTATGTATCGCATTAGAAGTGTTAGAGATCAGTTTGGCGAGGTGCTGAGTACTTGTGAGCCACTTCCACCCAGTCGTCTTTATTGGAAATAGATGGGCTGAAGGGCACTTCTGGAGTGTAAATTTAGCTGGTGGGATGGCAGCCCTGCCTTGGCAGCTTGGTGGGACAGGAGGCATCTAGCTGAAGCCTGCCAAGCCACTTGCTCAATGTCATGGGCTATGTTGGAAAGTTTAGTGAAGTTCTTGAGAGAAGATGGAAGTCAAATATCTTTTGATATCCCCCCCTGATCTTGGGAGATATCAAAAGAGAAAATAATCCAACCTGGTAATATTTGGCTCCTGAAAATGAAATTTAAAACCTGTATTACTCTGTTTTGTTTAACTTTTTACCACAGACTGTCCTTTATAAGTCTTCAGTTTGAGTCAACATATTATATGGAGCTTCCAGTTATAGCTTCAAAACAAAATCACATTTTCCACTTTGGAAATGCTAAAAAAAAGCACACTGATTATTTTTCCCTTTTCTATTCCTCCAAACATCTCAATTTTTGACCAGAAAAGTCAAAACTCACTTGTCCAAGTGAACAGCTTACAGAATTACTTCACTGATATTTTCTGTTTTAAAATATTTTTCCAGAAGATTCCTGACCAGCCAGTTAGTGGTGTGTGCAGTATTTCTGTGCAAGGGCAAAACTCATTGAAGACTAGATAAAAAATATTTCCCTGTCCCTGGAGAAGGGTTGGTTAACTTGCATCCACTGTCAGAGAAGGGCGATCTTGATAGCCACAGCAGGAGCCTTCCCACCCTGGTTGACCATCTATTCTCCATGCAGAAGCCATCTTAGCACAGTTGAATACATGGTGAACACCGTGTTCCATACGTTGGCTCTGTGTTCTGTAGCCGCATACTGATTATTCAAATTAGCATTATGAAAGGAAGCTTAATTTTCATGGAATACATTAGGTTGGTTTACTCTGGCAAAGTAAACATTTAAAATGAGACACGACATGTCCCTCAGATATGTCTGATGCAATTAAAAGTTCTAATAAAAATCCAGTTATTTATATAAGAGGAACTGCTAATATTTAAGCAATTTTTAAATTAATTATCTGGTGCCCATTTTATATGTGTTCTTGAGAGGCTGATGGCATTTATTTTCCACCTCCTCTCACTTAAAGAAAAAGAAAAAAAAAAACAACCCAGAAGCCAAGTTCTAATGGCATTTGAATGGGCATCCAGCCAGCTTCCCGCGAAACAGCTCTTGGGACATCTGTTCCTTATACCATGCAGTTAAAGGCACGCCATCTTAATGTAAGCAAGAAGACAGATTCTCTGCCTACTTGCATTGGGATATATGAAGAGTTTTCTTTTAATTGGAGCACAGTTTCATGGTGTACAAGGCCCTTGTTTGTGTTCTTGATGATGTTATATATGAACCTGAATTTGGAGCGGTATCTTTTCCTTCCAACTCCAGTTATCTCAAATGGTCTTTCAGGGTTGAATGTTGCTGTCAGTGCTTGCATCATTATTGCTCTTTCCTGGGCTGAGCAGGCTAATGCCTCATCTTTGTGAGAGCAACTGGACTTCTTCATTTGCCAGCATAATCCTGGTGAACATCTGAAAAGCCACAGCAAATGGACAGTACCTAGAAGACTGGTCAACTGTACTCAACCAGATGGAAAGAGCCCAGCATATCCAGGTTATTGTTTGGGGCTTTCCAGATGGAAACACAAAGATTAAGACTGGGGAAACCTCTGGAGGTCTCCAGTCCAACATCCTACTTGGAGCTGGGTTATCTTCAGCTGCACAGAGTCTTGTCTAGTTGTTTCAAATGTCTCCAGAAATGAGCTATTCCATATCTTCATAACCTTTCTAGTTCTAGTACTGCACTGTTCTCATTGTGGAGAATTTTCTTTATCCAGTCATAAGTTCTATCTGAGGCTTTTGTCTAGTGCCTCTTGTCCTTTCATTGTGTTCCCCTGAGAAGAGTCTGTCTCTGGCTTTCCCTTCTTTGAGCCAAGCAAACGCAGTTCCCTCAGTTTCTTCTCTCACATATGTTGCACCACAGCCTCTTGATCATCTTAGCAGCCTTCCTCACCCCCCTCATGATCTTAAACCTCCCCATCTCACGGTGCACTGAGGCTGCTGTTGCCTATTGCATCCTCTATTAGTTCTTCCTTATGTGCAGCACAAATGTCCTGCTCCACAACACTTCAGCTGGTATAAATTAGTTTAGCTCCTCTGACTTACTACTGTTTAAATCAGCTGAGCATATGGATCACATCTTCTATATGGCATGTCATGCTTTAGTCTTCCATTTCTGTAAATAAGTTAGCCCAGACTCATAGCCAGGTATGCGTGCAGATTTTAAAAACATGTTATGGAGCTGATAAACTGCCATAACATAACAGTGAACAACATAGTTGTGGCCAAAGGGTTTAGGACTGGGGTGTGCTAAAAGTAGTATTATCAATAAGCAGGGTGGAGGTGTAAATCTACTGGTGGTTGAAAATGATAAAATGTAATGAAAGAAAATACGCAGAAATATTCAATGTCTTAGTTTTGTTTCTCTTCTGCCCATGAAGTACAAGAGTGTGCTTATTCTATGCAGTTGTAGATGGCATAGAAAATTTACCACTTGCAGTGGAGAAAGAGCTTTAAAAGCATTTGTTAAATTTTCTTTTTTTTCACATCAGCACACCCTGTGGCCAGTCCTACTCTGCCACAGCTAGTCCTCTTCCCCATCTCTGCATCTGCTGTTTCATGTTAATCAGAATTTTTTCCCTGACAAAAACTGAGATCTCTTCCTTTCAAGGTTGGTTGAGGGGTTTTCCCCCACCTTTTTACATTTTTACAATAAAGCTTTATAAGCTTTGAGATGTGTTCCAAAACAAGATGAAATATTCATTTGGAAGCACAATAATAAAAGGCTTGAACCTCTTCAAAGATATTTCTAGACTTTAGTGCAGAAACAGCTCTGAGAATTTACAAAAGTTTTGATTGACCCAGCCGCCTTTTTTTTTTTACTAGAGGAAGACTCTTGCTTCCTAAAACTTCTCTTGCTGTCAGATATCTATGTTGGATGCACATCCCCCTGCTTGCCTGCCTGCTTGCTCCCCTGCTCTGCGGTGTGGTGCAGGAGATGCTCTGCCATGCCTAAAAGCCGTGATTGTGGGTGTTGCTCCCATGGAATGCAGCAGGGTCCCAGTTTGGGGGAGTTTGGGAACTGGCAGTGGTCTTGCCACTGTAAGGCAGAGCACAGCAGGATTGTTCCTGTGCTCCTGCAGTGTGTATAGGTATAGAGAGATTTGGAGATGTGGGTGCTTCCAAGTGGAACTTCTCACCCACTGATTCTGGGTATTATCACCTCACTGCCTAATGAATGCTTTGAATGGTCTGTCACAAGTTTTCTATGCAAGACAAATTGGCTGTAGGGAATGAATGATTATGCCCATTTTGCTTCATTATTAGCAGTAACATGCTCCATTTTTCAGTGGGGGGGAAATTAGGGAAGGGGAATTGCTTATAAATAGACTTGTTAATTGCAGAGGGTTTTAGACCTTCATGGTAGTGAGAAAGTGATAGAAATACAAGCTTGTCTTGGTTAGTGAGCTTTTCAACAGTAGAAATGTGCTGTAACAGCTATTCAGTGCTGAGTAGCTATGCTGGGGTGTGTTTGTCTCATCTGGAGACAGTATCCGAGCAGCACCATCCCTGACTCCAGATGTTCACAGACCAATACCCAGGCTGGACTTCATTTACTGTATACATCTGTTGGTGTTCTCCCATGAGTTCACATAAATACAGGCACTGGCTTTGGTGATACTTCAGCACACACTTTGATATTTTATTGAATGTGGTGCTTAGAGGCATGAAAAGGGGCTGGGGGGAGGTTTCTTTTCACCAGACTTGGGGTGCCTCCCTTCTAGGGACAACCCTGAAGCCAGCTCAGACAGGGCATCTATTAGAGATCTTGAGCAAAGTGGCTTTGTCTCCTGTGGTATTTTTTCAAGTTTTACTTCTCAAAGAGTATTCACCTCTGACCTTTAATCAAATCCACCAAGAGTTCAGGTCAAACGTAACTAGTTTCCCATGATATTTTGCACACCCTTTGGGCTCTGCTTTTTCTCTTAGAAATTGTGCGACTCCTGGGACTTTGGCTGCAAGGAAAGAATCAAGCCAGAGTTTCAGTTCTTCTCTTTGTTTCCCTCCTTTATCTCCATGTTGGCTATAAATTTGTTTTTCTTTGGAAAGGAATTGAAACACAATTCTGTCTCCTCCTTCCTGCAATAATTCACAAGCCGTATGTGAGGGAGATTCTTGGGAAGCATCTTGTGGTTGAGTTAATCCCATGCATTACCTGGCACATGGACATCTAACCAGTCTCCTCGGGGCGGGGGTTGATGTTCAGCTGGACTTTATTCCCTTCTGTCATACCAGGATTACCACTAGCCTGGCCTGAGGGGCTATAGCATTTTGAATAGGCCGTTTCAGCAATACCTGCTTTATCCTTCAGGGCTAATGTTAAATCAGCAGTGGTCCATCTCCCCGGGAAGGAGAGGCTGGGAGGTGGCATGGTGAGGAGGGACTGTTTCTCCTACAGCTGTTATGTGAAGACCCCTTTGTGTTATGCTTGCTCCAATTTGATGCGTCAGGCATAAAACTTTGTAAATGATCTATAAAATGAATGATCTAGAGGATGATGTGCTTAACAGTCAGTTGGAAAATAGGAATGCTTCACTGTATGCTCTGTCACTCAATCTTTCCTCTGCACTCTGCCCATTAGCAGGTCTTGCCTGGGCTAATTTGAACACCCCAAAGCTTTTGAAGTTTTAAGCAAGCTTTTGAAAATAAGTGTGTTAAAACAGCCATGAGAAATGCTTCATGAATGTGGAAGGGGCAGTCTGACGTCATGACTAGGGAACCAGAAAAATATTCTTGTTTCAGGGCAGTTGTGTGGGAAGAGATTTGGAGTGAAGTATTTCCACTGTGTTTGTGCCGATGTTTCTGCCAAACCCTGTGCCCACCTTCCATACCCTGAGCTCCCTGAGACAGAATCTAGTTAGCTCTTTTTGTAAGGTGAAGCACGAGGGTCATACAACACCTGGATACTCTTGTCCTGTAACTCTCAGTGGAAACAAAGCCATGGTAATGCCTCAGTGCTCAGTCTATCAATGGTGACAGTCCTCTCCTCTTTAGGCCCGTTCTGTTAGAAATCTAGCAAAAGCCTGACTGTACATTAATGTGTGTGCTCACAGGAAAGGTCTTTCAATGAGATACAGGGTCTACTTGGAGTCATGTAACAAAGTAATTGGGAGGAAGCGGTTGCAATGGTTTAATCACTAAAAATGCAGTAAAATTGAGTATTGAAAGGTCTTGTCCTCTTCCATCCTATCTAGCGCTGCTTCTGAATGAGGAGCAGTGCTCTGGTCCTGGAGGGCAGCAGTTTATCTTCCTGAGTTTCTTCATTCCCGAGACAGCAGGGATCACAGGGGCAGACACACAGTCAAGTTAATTTGCATCCTTCTGGCCGTGGCCGCTGTCTGTACACTCTTTTAGCATATGGCAAATGCAAGACAGTGTGACTAGGCTCAAATCTGTTTCAGGGGGAACTAAGGTTGTGTTTTTGTGTTTGCCATGGGCAAAGACATGTACATGTTACCACAGCTCAGCTGGCCCAGGGAAAGCTGTTGAGATGCGCTAGCTTGAGTGCATGTATGAGCCCTTGGCATTGCAAAGGCAGTGATCAGACAGATTGGTGTGTTAAGGCTTCTGGGAGGCAGCCAAATTCAGTACTTTTAAAAATTTGCTTTCAACACTGGCCCCATGGCTGCAGACCTTTCCTGTAGCTGGAAGCAGGACTTCTGATTTTAGCCCAGTATCTTTTGTTAAGAGTCAGGTGTGGGGTGGGCTGGCCCTGGAGCAAAAAGCAGCAGCAGCCACGCAGGGTGATGTCTCCATAACTTTTGCTTTTATTTTCCTTCCACAGCTCTTTTCAATCTAATTCCTGTGGGTCTTCGCGTGGTGGCAATTCAAGGGGTGAAGGCAGGTCTGTACGTTGCCATGAACGCTGAGGGATATCTCTACAGCTCAGTAAGTACTTTGCGCTGTTCGGGGTCCTGGAGTGGTTTGGTTTTGTAGGTGGGAGGGAGGAGACTGCATTGGATCTTGCAGATTTTTCTGAAAGTGGTCACGTATCAGCAAACCTTAAAAGCACAGGAATGGGGGGAGCTGCTGCAAGGCCGTGCAATATTCACTTTAAAGTGTCTCCACAGAGATTTGTGGCAATATTTCCTGACCTGTGAAGATACATGTTGTGTTCCTTTGAGTAGTTATTTAATGTAGGTCACGTTGTAGAGAAGGAGGTTGTGTGGTTGGCTGGTTATATTCTGGTTTCACATTTGTGAAATGGCATCGACTGAATGGAATTGCTTCTGAATTGCGCCTGGATAACTGATCATAGGTGGTGCCCCAATGGGTCATACTCTGCTTTTGACTGCAGTGTAAATCCACAGCAATACACTGACTTCATTAAAATGGTTCTGGACTGTTCTGTTGGCGGAGTGCTTCAGCGGAGCAGAATTTCCCTGTGTTTGTGTGGCCTTTTAATGCACATAAAAGATAAGTGAGGCATTTTTTACTGACTAATTCCCCTATAACTTTCTTAGATGGCATGAAAGGGCATGAGGTTATTCATAAGATTCTCATTTGAAGTAAGTAATTGATTTTCACAGTGAATAATTGATTCAGTGATTTATTAAATATGGCAGTCCTTTGCCAGAATTTTTTATGCTTCAAATAACTTTGCTCTAGTTCTACATAGTAAAAAGTGATAGTTAATAATACACTTCTCATTTCTGTAGTTCTGATGTCTTTAAAGTGTATAGTTGAGATTCTAATCTCATCTGCCTTTGTGTAAACTTACAGTGCAGCGATTCTGCTCTTGTCTAGGCATTTACTTTGCTCTAAAGTGTATGTGAGATTGGAGGTAGGACCACTGAAAAGACAACAGTCTGAGTTGCTCCTACACAATGTTTCCTCACTCTTGCCATCAGTCTTCATTCCTGGTCAGTTTTAAAGCGCTCACATGGTTGGGATTTCCCCCTTTCCTTTGGGAGGTTACAAAGCTTTGCCTCTCCAGTGGCTCAGGGTGGAAAACAGCAAGTGGATGTGTTAGTATGCCTGGCGAGATAGGTCTCAAAACTGGCTGCTTGTCAAGAAGAGACAGAGAGATCAATCTGGATCTCTGTGGATGCCAGACGCTTCCTGTTCTTTCATAGCCCAGTAAACATAAATGACTGCTTCTAAATAAATTACATCAGTTTACTAACAATGAAAACCTCCTCTTCTTGTAAAGCGATCGGGAGTCCTAAAGGTAATACCAAACATGGTGCGGTACAGCATTATCATGCGTGCTTCCCTTTAGGCACGTAGTCAGGGGGTTCATGACAGACGTTTTGTCCAGTGTTTGTGCAGGGCTGGGCATGAAGGGGTCCTGGCCTGGTGCTGAGGCTCCTCGTGCCACCAGTGCCCCATAAGTGAGGACTGCAGGAAAGCAGTGTTTGTCAGAGCCACATCCAGCCTGGGTGGGTCTTTCTGGAGCAAGGAAGGGTAGCATTTTCTGAACAAATAACGCAAGGGAGGGAAAGGTGTGGGGCTCAAGCAAAAGAAATGGAGAGTTGGAAACATGATGTTTGGCAGCTGAGAGATTAGAGACGATGCAGAGGAAAAGGATCTCTGCCAGCAGTAGTGAGATGATGCAAAGGGTGGGAGGGACATACCAAGAGGTGGTGGGCAGCAGGAAGACCATGTGCCCAGGAAACACATCTGCTAGTTATACGAAGTTTCCTAAAAGGCACCAGATCATACATGTATTCAAATAAGGGTGGTTTAATGGGGCCTGCTTATTCCTAGTAAGTGTTCCTCTCTTAAATAGGAAGATTAATCAGGGAAGGCTAAGGATGCACCGTGATGGTCAGTGGTTATTGAAGTGGACCTCATTACGTGCCGTGGTTTGCTGGCATTCAGCTCTGTCTGAACTAATGACAGTTAAACTGTTCATTTCATCAACATGATGCAAGGTTTCTGCTTTCAGTAAATGGATGCTACTGGGCCATCTCTAATCCAGGGAGATGGAGCTTGCTGGACCCAATTTTCTTACTGTATTGACTGGTGGCTCTGTCTGTCTTACACAGTAAATCAATGGATTCACTGTGCTTTGGAGCAGATACCAAGGCAAGAACAAAGAAAATTCGTGGATAAAACCTGTTAGGAGCAGGGAGTGTGTGAAGCCACTCATAGCATCAAAGATAACAGATGAGACCGGGGTCCTATAAGAGAACTGGATATGGCTGAGAAGAGCTCAGCCTGTTCAAGCGGTCTCTTTTGGATGCTGCAGTTTTTGTGGGGCCGGGATCCCACTCCAAGCCAGCATTTGGCATGGCTGTGTCAGTCTCAAAGACTGTGCTAGAGAATTGCTTTGGCAGGACTTTAGTGTTCCTCTCCAGGGCAAGCAGGGCCACTGGCTGTGCCGCGTGGACCTTATTGCTGCCCACACCAAAGGACATGTTGTCCCTGTTCCTTTGCTTAGCAGACCCCAAACTATAGCTTTGCTCTGACTCAGGCCAGTTTCCTTTGGTGTTGTGCATGTATGTGTTTTTTTTTATTAGACTTTTCTGAGAGATTTCTGAAAAAAAAAAAGGTCAGTATTCCCCATAGATATTGTTAACTTACACAGATCCATTGATAAATGAACTTTTTCTGCTGCTTGGCTGCCTCTCCTCCTGTCTGTCCCAGGCCTAGCCCTGCTAGGGCTTCTTATAACACCCTCAAGCCCAGGACTGCTTTCCAATAAAATTAAACTGTCCAGGAATTTTTTTTTTACTCCTCTTGAGCCCAGGTTGTGGCTGTAACTGAGCACATCACTGTGGGTTTGTTTTGTTTTTGTTTGGTGGTGGGGTTTTTTGTGATACTTAATCTGTGTGCGTCAGCTGAGACCTTGGCTGACATTCTCTGCCCTGGATCAAACCAGAGGCTATTATCAGCCTGGTCTCAGAGATGGTTTGTGCCAGCTCCTTCTGAGTTTGGGCCAATGGGCTTTTGAATGAATGGGTTTAGAATAACCAGCCCTGGAAAAAGTCTTCCTGGTGCTGATAAGCAGAAAAGCAGGGCTGAATGAGGTCCTCTAAAGCCAAACTTGGTGAGAAGGCTCTTTGCAGAAACATGCAAGACCCTCCTACGTGCTCGGCCACACTGATGCCTTTAGCAATGAATTTCCTCTTCTCTTCTGTTCAGTTAGGGATGCGTGGGGTTGGGTTGCTGGGTTGAAGCCAACTGTAGATCCCTAGCCAGCTTTAGAGGCCTAATGCATTAGAAGCCAAAGCTTCTTTGCCTGGGAAGCAGCTGTTTGACTTTTGTGCATTGTTTACTCACACCAGATACCTGATTTTTTTTTTTTTTCCCCAGACTAGATTATTGCTACCTCTGAGGTCTGCTGGGTAATTAGGCGCTTAGTAGGCACAAAAATCAGGTCTTGGTCTGAGGCACCTGGCTTTGCAGACAGTAGTATGCAAAACACTGTCTGCATGGTGAGCTTGCAGAGTCATTGGTGTGTTCCCATTTGATTTCTTGTAATGTCGAGCAGCTGTAAATTCCCCGAAGGTGCACAAAGGTTTTTATCAGCACCTGTTCTGGGGAGTGACGTGACTCTCCTGAGGATCCACTCTTAGCATTTTATGCCAAAGGAAAAATATACAGAATGAATGAAGGGCAGCAGGTATTACTTGTACTGTCTTGGCGCTTGGGAAGCTGAGACCAGAGGCTGGTTGTTGCAGAAGAGAGGGAAACACAGAATGAAGAGGTACGTCCTGCTCCAGTGAGTTTACAGCCTAATCGTAATGGGAGAAGACACAGAACATGCTTTCCTGTCTCTCTGAAGTTAATAGTTCCACCCCCAAATTAATTCCTACTGCTGTATAACCTTTCTGTGTGAACTTTCTCTCCTTGGCGCCCAGCTTTCTCTGTTACCCCTGCTGCAAAAACTCACAGGGCACGGGGAGGGGAGTGCCTGCTAAGTGTTTTGCCTGAGAGGCAAGCCTGGTTCTGCTGGAGCAGATGCTTGTCACGGGGCTGTAGAGCCTCCACAGGCCCACCCAATCACTCCAAGTACACTGAAATTGCAGCTCTCAATACGATGATATGTATAATTCAGTGGCATTACAGCTGGGATTGGTTTTGCCCCAAGTGCATAACACTTCTAAAATGTACTGCTCTCAGATTTTCCTTGTTGTTTAACTCAGAGTTCTAATTATTTTTGAAATGGCAAATTGTGATACATAATTTATGGGAAAGACTGAGAAAACCCTAGCAGAGATACAGAATACAGAGGAAAAAAAATGGGTCGCTTATGAGAGCTTAGTATGGTTTTACAGTATAAACCTGTGAGTTTGAAATGCTGAAATTAGAGTTTGAATCACTTCAAAGATTCCTGTTAATAAGAGAATGATTATGCACAACAAAAAAAATCTGAACAGCATTGGAAAAACCATCAAGTTAAGAGCTCAGTGTGTCTTTGCATTTTCTTTTTCTCTGCTTTTTTTTCTGCTTTATCATTTTGCATAATAAACATGTCTTGCATAATAATAAACAAGCATCTGGGGAAATATGTATATTAACTATTTTTTTAATCTGCTTGGAATGCTATAACTATTTTGCTACAACTCCTCTAGGGTTGCTGCACTCTTATTTACATCATTTCAAGGTCAGGGGCTGGAATCAATAATGCTGCATTCTCTCCCTGAACAGGCTTGGGGTGTTAAACCTGCTCCTGCCAATGCCATTTCTTGAATTCCGGTTTGACCTCCAGTGGTGCTAGTTGATTTGGTCAGAAGTACGGACGAGCCAGGCAGGTATCCTGGACATTTCCCTCTTGCAAACTTTGCAAGCAAGTACACTTGCTGGGGGGATTCCCTAGTTTACATGCCTCATTAGGGAGCCAGGTCAGTGGAGAGAGAGAAATGTCTCCAAAGGCAAAGCACAGCAGGAGCCTGATGTAATATGCTTTTAATTTCCCTCCAGAGTATCTGATCTTTTTC